TTATTTTGATATATCACAGTGAAAGATTTATCGTCCTCTTTTTTTTTTTTTTTTTTTTTTTTTTTTTAAAAAAAAAAAAAAAAAAAAAAAAATTTTTAAAAATGTATTATATTTGAGGAGGAAGCATAAAAGTTTATGTCATGTTAACTAATAGAGGTGATGAACATTACCATTGAAATCTACCCGATGACTTTATAGACATACACAGGTGCCAAGGATCTGAGTGCAAAGGATTATGACTAGTAATAATCAGATACATACAGATTAGAGATGCATGCACCAACAGCTCAGTGTTAGTAGCAAAAACAATGAGTCTTTCTGTAAGAAACAGTATATTTTGGGGCTGGAGAGATGGCTCGGCAGTTAGGAGCACTGACTGATCTTGCAGAGGACCCGGGTTCGATTCCCAGCACCCACATGGCGGCCATGGACCACCCTTAACTCCATTTCCAGGGGAATCTGAAGCCCTCTTCTGACCTCTGCAGCATTGCACGACACAGGTGCACTCACATACATGCAAGCAATACACTCATACACATAAAATTTTTTAAAAAATTTAAAAAAGAAACTATATTTTAGAATGAAATGGAAAGTCCCAGCACTTGGGAGGCAGAGGCAGGCGGGTCTCTGAGGATTCAAAGCCAGACTGGTCTACAAAGTAAGCTCTAGGCAAGCCAAGGGTAACATAACGAGAGAAAAAAGCTGAATTACCTTTACTTTGTTTCCTTCCATGACTTTAATGGTTTAATGGTTTACCTACTACTCATGAGGATGGGACCTGAGGCAAGTCCTGTTCAAGTCTCCCGACCCCTAAATCCCAGCTGGTTTCACTCTGTCACTGGGAGACACATGAAGAATAACTTTTTCCTTTCATTCATTACCTTGCAGTCATATTGCTGGGGACGGAGATGAATGCTGTATACCTATCTGATTAAACTGCCTGTTATTTCAAATCTACTTCATAGAGGCTTCTTCCTCTGATAGGCACCCAGCGATACAACACATTAAAAATTATATCTGTATCACGTACTTCCTCTGTTGTACTTATGTGTGGCGTGTGTGTGTGTGTGTGTGTGTGTGTGTGTGTGTGTGTGTGTGTGTATGTGTGTGTGCAGGTGTCCTGTGCCATGGCGCACACATGAAAATCAGAGGACAGCCTCAGGCATTGGCCCTTGCCTTCTACCTTGAGACTAGGTCTCCTATTCACTGCTGTATACCCCAGATTGGCTGACCCGTGAACTTTTTTTAGGAATTAGTAGATGTGAAAAACATTACCACTGAAATCTACTTGATGACTTTATATCCATGCTCAGATGCCAAGGAGCTCAGAAAGTAACGGACTCTGACTAGTAATAATCAGATATATAGAGATTAGAAACACATGTGCAAACACCTTAGCGTCAATTGCATTAAAAATGAACTTTTCTGTGTGAAGCTATACTTTACTAATGGAGATAATGGATATCTTTTTTAAAGGTTAAAACCTCATTTAATTTTATAATTTTATGTCTTACAGGGTTTATACTGAGTACAATAGTGTATAACTGTATTAATTCAACTATAAACCTAAAAATGTACAGCCAGTCTTGAAACAGATGCATCTTAGCTCTGGAAATAGTTATTGAGTATGTCAATGCTGTTGTCATGAAATGCTTCTTCTAATTATGTGGTTACTAAATAATTTTTTTAGAAAAAGAGGAAAGATTTGTTCTGACTCACAATTTCAGAGGTTTCAGTCCTCAATCACTTGGCCTAGTTGCTTTGGGTTTGTAGCAGTGCAGTACATCATGGTGGGAGCACTTAGCAGAATAAAGCTATCCGTCTTGTGGCAGCTGGAAAACAGAGAGCGAGAAAAAGGAAGAGATCAGGGTCCAAACAAGGATGTGTCCCCAGTGACTTGACGTTTGCCCATTAGGCTCACTTCTTTTTTTTTTTTTTTCTGGTTTTCAGAGACATGGTCTAGCTTTGTAGCCCAGGTTGCTCTCAAACTTCTGGCAATCCTCCTGCCTCAGCTTCCTCGGTATTGGGATTACAAATATGCAACACCACAGTCAGCTGGTCCCACTTCTTTTCTTTCTTTTTAAATATTTTATTTATTATTTTTATTTTATGTATATGCATGTTGGTAAGTGCACGCATGACATGCAGTGCCTGTGGAGGACAGAAGAGGCTGTCGGATCCCCTGGAACTGGAGTTACAGACAGTTGTTAGCTGC